CCGTAAAAGTTTGGACGGGTGAAATTATTAACACGGGAACCATGGAAGCTAGAAGGCTGAAATTTTGTGGGCATGCCCTCTGCCCATGTGTTACCCGGAAAATTTAAATTCAGCTTCCCCCTGCCTGCGGGTAGCATGTACGGCCCCATGAAAATATCTGACGGGTAAATTATTATCTCGGAAACCACGGAGTTTAGGAAGCAAAAATTTTAGGATTGTGACCCCCTGCCGAAGAGCGATCTCGCAAATCCAAATTCAGCTTTTCCGCTTTTCCGGGCACCACCTACGGCCCCGTGAAAATTTTTGCGGGTAAATTTTTATCTCGGGAATAACAGAACCTAGGAAGCTGAAATTTTAGGTTAATAATCTCCTGCCCATGAACGATCTTGCAAATTCAAACTCAGCATTCACCTACGGGCTAGTGGAAATTTTTGTGGGTAAACTGTTATCTCGGGAATCGCTGAAGGATATTCACTCTTCAAGATTTCAAATTGCAAAGCAGTGGAAATCATTAACAGGCAATCGTTCGGTAGGTGGAATTGCACAAAACACATGATCGCACCGGCTGGTCTGGTACGCGTTGCTATTTATTTTTTTTTTTTTGTTTACACTCTTGTGTCGTGCTATAAAGTCTAATTCATTTTCCAGATGTTCTATCCGTCTTGCGCGCTATTTTTCAGAAGATATGAAAAAATGCCTATCCACTCCTGAAATAAGCACACTTATAAGTGAGCTTTCTATGAGTTCTTTTTTTTGCTTCTCCTTAAAAGTTTTCGGATTGATAATATTATGAATGAGCAGCGTCGAAATTGCTGTATTCGACCTCTGAACTAATCCTGAATTTCGGGTTCCGTTTTCCTAATTTGTGCTTTTAACTGTTACGTAATGTAGTTGGTTTCGCAAAATTCATAGCAAACTCTCGCTGGCATCTTTTTTTTTTTCTCCGGCTAATGACTCGCTCCTCTTCAGCCTCGTTCCTCTTATTTCCCGTACTACCAAAACGCGCTTGCATGCGTGCATCGCACTTTTACACAGTTTTATGACTTTTTTTTTGGGGGGGAGGGG